TTCCCTGATGTGATTAGATTTGGGTACAATACACTCAGCTCCCTTACATTAGAGAAATCTATCCAAACCCCACGTACAAACAATTCAATAATACAGGCAAGTCAGACAGACCGAAGATGAGTTTGGGAATTAATCATATTTGCTCCATATTTCTAAGTTATTCAGGATTTAAACATACACGCAGAAAAGGCAGGGCAATGTGTTCTATTTACAAGTGCAACATGCTTTCTCAGGGAAGCGTGTTTCCTTTATGCTGGTCCTGCACTTTAGTTACGTAACTATGAATCCCTCTGGTGCTGGAGTTCCAATTTTACTCTAAGATAAACAGGATCAAAATAATGACTAGTGATAGTGAAAAGTACGAGTTTGAAATTAACTTCACCAGTCAATGAAAACAAAGTTTCCAGCGTCCAAAAAGACTCTATTATTAAATTATGTGGTCCTCATTAATGCAAAATTAATATTAAAAAGATCATTACTCAGTAGTTGTAGTTGTACACCAATATGAGAATAGTTATGAATGCATTATTGTTAATATTACCTCGGGCCCATCCAATAGCTATCATGACTAGCCAGCCATTTTTGTAATAGCTATTAGCATGTGTGACTCCACCTACTATTTTCCAAGTTCTGGTCACTTCCTTCATTCCTGCAGCCAAGAGTTGAACAGGTTGAAAAGAATAGGCTTGGCAAACTAGGTCACTTGGGCAAAAAAATATAATATACCTGAAATTAAAATTTTAAATATTTTAATACATCAGTGGAATCAAAAGAAACAGAAATAAAAATCCATTACAGGCATAACCCTGAGAGACTGCAGGTCTGGTTCTAGACAATCACAATATGGTGAATACTGCAACTAAGTATTAGTCAAATGAACATTTTGATTTCCCAGTATATGTAAAAGTTATAGTTATGCTATCTGTAGTCCAATAAGTGTAAACATTATTAGACAGTTTGAAATATTGTGAGAATTACCAAAATGTGATACACAAATTATTGGAGAAGAGTGAGCACAAACTATTGGGAAAATGGTATCAATAGTCTGCTTGCCACAGGATTAGCACAATCCTTTCATCTGTAAAAAACCATGCTGTCTGCAAGGGGCAAGAAAATGAGGTATGTCTGTACATCAGCAATAGTAATTTCACAAAATATAATAATTAATAAAATAAGGAATTTTACTCGAAAAAGAATATAGATTTGATAAATAATTGTTTAAATAACGAATATATGTATGATCTGCCAAAAAGATCAGAGGAGTCAATTGTGTACTTCTAAGCACATTAAAAGGAGCCCTAGTGCAAACTGGGCTACACATGGAATGGTTCCCTACATGGTCAGCAGTCCAACCCCGCAGTGCTCGAACGAGAAAGATGAGGCTATCTCCCCCTGACAAGATTGAACGTCTTAGAAACCCAAAGGGGTAGTCCTACTCTGTCCTAAATATGCAGAAACTATTTGACAAGTTCCTCATCTGCCCTGATATGTTCTAGGAGCTATGTTGGAGCCACCATTAAAATAAAGCAAGTATTAATCACATCGAGGGGTAGGGTCTACTCTAGCGAGATGGTGTCTTGGCCTTTTGGGAACGGGAAGTAGAAAACGGTTCGTGGTACCTGAATGAAGGCTGTCTTTCAAGCCCCACTAACATCTTCACCTGAATCCCTTTGCACAGTATATAAACTGCAAGCCAGACAACGAGGTTGGAACCCTCAAGGAGACAAATTTGTGTTCAAGAAAAATATATTTTCATACAACTAAAGGAGTATAAAGTATGTTCTCTAGTAGATTTAAGTTTATAACCAATTAAATTATCACATTAATTTAAGAATAATTCACCCATCCTCAAGTGGATTATTTTTGAAGCTTCGTTGTTCTAAACATCTGTTCAAGTAATACCTATTGGAGATACACTATTTTTTTTCTCCCTCTTCTTAAAATACTCTCTGGCATGCAATGTTGTGCTTTAAAAGAACAGGGCTGTGTTTATGTTAATATAGAAGGAGCATTATATATATAGGGGATCAAACTGACAGTAGTAACTTAAAAGATTAGAAAGAAAAATTAGAGGGCAATGAGTTTATGTTAATATGGAAGGAGCAATTCAGAAAAGTAAAGTATGAACGGTTGTACAACTTGAAGAATATAATGAATGTCCCTGGATTACACTGGGAGAAGTTGAATTGGTTCATATTCTATTGTGTAGATCAACAATAACAAAATGTAAATATATATTGTGCAAGTCTCTGTATACTACTTTCTCTAAATATATGACTGATTCAGAGAACTTGGTAATGCACTTGGGGAAAACAGGTGTATATATTTAAATAATTAATGAAGTATATATATTTTTTTTTATTATAAATCATTTTATTGGGGCTCATACAACTCTTTTTTTTTTTTTTTTTTTTAAACATTTTATTAGGGGCTCATACAACTGTTATCCCAATCCATACACACATCAATTGTGTAAAGCGTATTTGTACATCATTTCTCAAAACATTTTCTCTCCATTTAAACCCCCGACATTAGGTCCTCATTTTTCCCCTCCCTCCCCGCTCCCCTCTCCCACATGAGCCCTTGATAGTTTATAAATGGGTATTTTGTCATATCTTGCCCTGTCCGACTTCTCCCTTCACCCACTTTTCGGTTGTCTGTCCCCCAGGGAGGAGGTCACACACAGTTCCATGTAATCGGTTCCCTCTTTCCTACCCATTCTCCCTTTACCCTCCCTGTTTTGCCACTCACACCACTGGTCCTATAGGGCTCATCCATCCTGGATTCCCTGTATTTTCAGTTCCTATCTGTACCAGTGTACCTCCTCTGGTCTAGCCAGTCTTGCAAGATAGAATTCGAGTCATGGTAGTGGGAGCGGGGAGGAAACCTTTAGGAACTAGAGGAAGGTTGTATTTCTCATCATTGTTACATCGCATCCTGACTGGCTAATCTCCTCCCCGAGACCCCTCTGCAAGGGGATCTCCAGTGGCCTACTAATGGGCTTTGGATCTCCACTCCGCACTGCCCCCATCATTCACTATGGTGAGATTTTTTGTTCTGATGATGCCTTACACCTGATCCCTTCGACACCTCAAGGGGCTCATACAACTCTTATCATAATACACACATACATCAATTGTGTAAAGCACACTTATACATTCGTTGCCCTCATCATTCTCAAAACTCACTTTCGACTTGGGTTCCTGGAATCAGCTCATTTTCCTTTTTCCCCTTCCCGCTCCCCACCCTCTGCCCTAAAGTATATTTTTCATAAAATAGAAACATTGTGGTATCTACTATAGATAAATTTAGAAAGATAATTTGGTTTTACTTTATCAATAATGAAGGCTAAAAAGTAAAATATGAACAAATAAACAGCAAAAAAATACAAATGACCCCATCTTCATGACATACAGTGAATCTCCATCTCTAACATTAGTTAAAAATTCTATTACAAGACCCATCTTGAATGTTTTTATATACAGTATTGTGATATACAGGGGAAATTATTTTTTAAATCATTGTATTGGGGGCTCTTATAAGAACCCATAAATCAATTGTATCAAGCACATTTGTGCATATGTTGCCATCGTCATTTTCTAAACATTTTCTTTCTATTTGAGCCCTGGGAAATTAGTGTTGCTATTTCTGATAAGTGTCTAATTAATCTATCTCTGATAAACATCTAATTAATCTAATCATATTTTAAAGTAGACCCACAATAAGCTAACATTTTAAACTGTTCACCTTGTGAATGTTAAATAGGCACAGGGCAAAAGAACAATTGTTTACTGTGCTCAGCAGACTTAGAAATATATGAACCCAGTGGTTCAATCAATAACAATTCCTGTTCTATGACACAAATTAAAACCAAAAACATGGGGTAGGAAGAGGGGACGAGAAATGGACACCCAAAGCCCATCTGTAGACAATTGGACATCCCCTCACAGAAGGGTCACAAGGAAGAGATGAGTCAGTCAAGGTGCAGTATAGCACCGATGAAACACACAACTTTCCTCTGGTTCTTTAATGCATCTTCCCCCCACTATCATGACCTCAATTCTACGTTACAGATCGGATTAGACCAGAACATGCACACTGCTTCAGGCAAGAGCCTGCAACACAGGGGATCCAGGATAGATAAACCCCTCAGGGCCAACAATGAGAGTAGAGATACCAGGAGGATAAGGGGAAGGTGGGGGAAGACAGGAGGAATTGGTGACAAGGATCGACATATAACTTCCTCCCAGGGGGACGAACAATAGAAAAGTGGGTGAAGGGTGACAGAGAACAATGTAAGATATGAAAATAATAATCTATAACTTATCAAGGGTTCATGAGGGAGGGAAGGGAGAAAAATGAAGAGCTGATACCCAGGGCTCACAAAGAAAGAAATCGCTTTGAAAATGATGATGACAACATATGTACAAATGTGCTTGACACGCTGGATGAATGTATGAATTGTGATGATATTTAAAGTCTCCAATGAAAGTATTTAATAATAATAAAAATTAAAATTTTTAAAAATCCACTGTCATTGAGTTGATCCCAATGTATAACTCGCAGTTAGCAGTCCAATGCTAGGTCGACAGTGCCATTCTTAAATGCTTCTGATATGGCATTATTAAAATAGCTTCCTATTTTGAATCACTGACCTATGATGAGCAGTCTAATACTTACCCAAAGTGCCACCAGGACTCCTTGTTATATCTAAGGTACCTATACATTATAGTGCCTAAAGAATACATATAGCAAAAGGAAATTAAATAAGACAACCACTGATTTCTCACACATTAAGTCACATGTATTAGATTAATGAGTAGAAAACAAAAAATCGCACTAGTAAGAAAAAGTAGTCTAGATCAAAGGAGTCCTGGTGGTGTGGTGACCAAACGCTCAACTATAAGCCAAAAGGCTGGGAACAGAAACGGGAACCCACCCGCCACTGCACAAGAGAAAAATGGGGCAACTGGCCTCCATCAAGGTTACCATTGGCCTCTGTAAAGCCATAGAGACAGTGGTTCTCAACCTTCTTAATGTCGCAACCCTTTAATACAGTTCATGTTGTGGTGACCCCCCAACCATAAAATTATTTTCGTTGCTACTTCATAACTGTCACTTTGCTACTGTTAGTAATCGGGCGACCATATGAAAGGGTTGTTCGACCCCCAAAGGGGTCAAGACCCACAGGTTGAGAACAGCAGCCTTAGAATCTCTACAAAGCAGGTCAACTCTGTCTTTTTTTTTTAAATCATTTTATTGGGATTCTGTACAAGTTTTATCACAATCCATACACACATCCATTATGTCAAGCATATTTGTACATTTGTTACCATCATCATTCTCAAAACATTTGCTTTCTACTTGAGCCCTTGGTATCAGCTCCTTTTTCCCCTCCCTCTCAGACAACCCTTATTAACCTCTGATAATTTATAAATTATTATTATTTTATCATGTCTTAACACGGTCCGAAGTCTGCCTACTCTGTCTTATAGGGTCACTGTCAGTCTCAATCGATTCAGAAGCAGACAAGAGCAATCTAGAGCAGGGTACAAACAAAATGCTAAGCCACTGACACAAATGCAAGCTCCTCCTGCCCTCTCCGCCCGCGCTGTGAGCGGACCTGACGGGTGAGATCACGGCCATCTAGGAGGTAAATGGAGACCACTTGCTGTGCTTTGGATAGCTACTTGCAAGCTTTTAAGATCCCAGTTATTATGCAACAA